GGCATGTTGCTAGGAGGGTCTGTTCCTTGGAGAAAGACATGATGCTGGGAAGAGTGGAGGGTCGGCGAAGGAGAACATGACCCTCAACCAGGTAGATTGACACAGTGACTGCTGCAATGGGCTCTTGTGTGTCAGGAATATGAGGATGGTTCAGGATAAAACAGTGTTCAGCTCTTTTGTTCATAGGGTCACTATAGGTAGTATTTGACTCCACGGAACCTAAAAACAACAATAGGAACTGGATTAGGGAGCTCAGGTGTCAAAGTCAATAGAGTGGTGAGATGCTGACCCAAATGCTACACTTCTCCAGCCCTACAGTGTTTTAATGACCTCATGTTGCTATACCAGAATTACAACAGAAGATGATTTTAACAGTCAAATTATTCTCATAAGTTTATATGGTTAAAATTTGAAATTTAGAATGCTATCTTTAGAGGAAAGCTTTCCGTCTTTGTCTCCGCTCTGGATTCTATCATTATCTGTGTACACAGCATCCCTAGAGAACTCCAGGTGGAGTTAGGGACCCTGGGTCCAGTATATGGACTCCCCTCCTGGCTTTTGTATCTTGGTGGTAGTCAAGTCCTTCCTTCACTCCTAGTTTCTTTCTCCTTTTCTCTTTTATAAGATAGAGGATACAGGGAAATGCCCAGTACATCACAGCTGTTGACCTGAGTAGGAGGGTTATATCCCACCTTAATCCCTTTACAACTGATCAGACCACATAAGAGAGGTGATTATATCACTGCCAAACTCCTAAGACTTATGGCTGAGCTAAATTGATAGATTAGTGGGGTGAAGGGAGGCACACACAATTCAGTTCATGACTATAAAATTAAGGAGACCAAAGTATTGCGAAAGCCTCTCACTTTTGTCTATTGTTATTTAACTATTTTGGCTTACCTTTGACTATTACTTTGTTACTGAATTATCTTGCAAGTCATAGTATGAAAATAAAAAAGGAACTAGGTGGTCTAGAAGCTTCGCTGCAATCCCAAAGGCACACAGTTCAAATCCACCACATGCTTTGCTGGAGAAAGAGGGAAAATCTCCTGTGCCAGTCTCATCCAATTCAACAGTACACAGCGGCAACAACAACAACAAAAGAAAGTCATAATATGAACTTGGTCTAAATAAAAGAAATACCATTATTAGAACTATTAATCCAAACAATTATTTGTGAAAAATGTGAGTTGATGATATCTAAGATTAGGAAATTTGGAATTAAGATAGAGAATAGCTCTGGATTGTGGTATTGGAGAAAAGTATTGGATATCTCGTGCACTACCAAAAGAACAAACATCTCTCTTGGAGCAGGTGCAACCAAGGTGCTCATTAAGGAAAAGGATGGTGAGATTTGGTCTCACATTGGTCTTACCTTCAGAAGGGGCCAGTCCCTGGAAAAAGACATCATGATAGGAAAGGGTCAACCCAAAGAAAAGACTCTTAGCAAAATAGGATATCACAGTGACTGCAACACTTGGTTTGAACGTATCAGAAATCATAAGCATGATGCAAGATTTGTTTATAGGGTCATTATGAATGTAGTTGGGCAGCACCTAACAACATCCTAGCAAATCACAACAGGAAGGAGCTACCGACTCTTCTTCATTTAAACTCCCTGAGGCTCACAACCTTTGGGTTAATGTTGAAACTTGCTATGCCACCATAGCTCTGTGTTCAATGTGTTTGTATTGTTTTTAGTACCTTAAAATAATTCCTGAAAGAATGTACTTTACCTCTTTAAAAAGTTGTTGTTGTTATGCGCCGTCGAGTCACTTGTGACTCACAGTGACCCTATGTACAAGAGCCCTAAATCTTGCTCTATCCTGTACCAGCCTCACTGTCTCTAACAGGCCTATTCCCATTACCCTAATCACTGAGTCGATTCATCTCATTGAGGGTCTTCCTCTCTTGAGCTGTCCCTTCACCCTCCCAAACATGATGTCCCTCTTCAAGAACTGGTCCCTTCTTGCAACATGCTCACAGTATTTCAGATGAAGCTTCAGAATCCTTGCCTCCAAGGAGCTGCCTGTTTTCACTCTCTCTAGGACAAACTTATTTGTTCTCCTAGCAGTCCATGCTATAGTCAACATTCTTCTCCAGCTCTACAGCTCAAAGGCATCAATTCTCTATCATCCCTAGGCACTGTCCAGCTCTCTGACTCATAGTACACAATTGCAAAGACTGTAGCCCAGATCAGGTGCACCCTAGTCTCCAGCCTGACATTGTTGCTCTTCAGTACTCTGGAGAGGTCTCTGACAGCTGACTTTCCCAATGCAATTCATCTCTTGGTTTCCTGGCCGCTGGTACCAAAAGTGTTGATTGTAGAGTCAAGCAAACTGAAACTGTTAATAGTCTCTGCCAGTGGTGAGAATCTTTGTTTTCCTGATGTTGAGCTTCAATCCCTATTGAAGGCTGCAGTCCCTGACCTTCTGCAGCAAGCACTTCAGGTCTTCTTCAGTTTCAGCAAGCAGGGTTGTGTCACCTGTATAATGCAGGTTGTTGATGACTTCAACCAATCCTGATGCCACATTCCGCCTCGTATAGACCAGCGTCCCGGATGATCTGTTCCGCATACAGATTGAAAAAGTATGGAGACAGAATACATCCCTGGCGGACACCTTTCCTGATTTTGAACCATGCAGTGTCTCCTTCCTCTGTTTTGATGACTGCCTCTTGGTTCAAGTATAGGTTTCACATAAGCACAGTCAAATATTCTGGGTTACAGTATAGAATGGCTTTATAAGATTTTTAAGGGCTTTAGATCGTTCATATTTAAGGTTAAAAAAAAAGTAAAAATAAGTTTACTAGAAAGTTACATCCCCAAAAGATATTTCTCTATATATTTCTTTTTTGTTTATAAATTTAATATGAAGGGTATTTTCTGTTTCAGTAAAACAAATACCCATCCCATCGCAACTGCAAGTTGATGCTACAGTCTCTGAAAATGTGATACAATCTACACCAGTAACAACCGTATCTTCTGGTACTAAAGAACAGATAAACAGAGGAGAAGAAAAGAAGGTGAAAGAAAAAAGTGACAAGAAAGGTATTTTAACTGTTAAGCATATTTGACTCTTGTTTTGTCAGATAATGTTAACATTTTGACTAATGATAATGCTGTCAAAAAGATAACTAACTTTTTACAACACTTTATCTCCAAATATATTGAGAGTCTTCAGCTTTTGAGCTAGTTTTTTTCCTAAAGCTTTTATTCGGGAATTCCATGGCATAGATTTCATTCTTACAAGTGATTGACATTTAGTTAGGCTTGTTGTTGTTCTTAATTGCTGTCGAGTCATAGGCGACTCAAGCGACCCTGTGAACGAAAGTCCTCGACACTGGCGTGCGTGACTTTCATCCTTTCTCCAGGTTCATAGGGTTTCCAGAGGCAAGCTATTTACGGAAGTGGATGTCACTCCATTATTTAACCCACATACAAACGATGCCTTTGATTACGTATTCTGTGTCAGGCATTATTCTAAGGGAATTTTTTAAAATCTTTATTGCAATCCTTTGATTGATCATCATTTTACAAGTAAGGAACCTCATCCTTGATTGATTTAACAACTTGTCCTAGATCATGACTTGGTAAGTAATAGAGCCCAGTGTCAAGTCAAAAGTCTTTTTTTAGAACTTATGTAACTAAATATGGTAAGACTTTTTTTTTTTAAATTGTAATTTCAGGGAAAGTTTACAAATGATTCTGGTTTTTTATTCAATCATCCATATTAATTTTGTTTTATAAAAATTATAATAGAAATTTGTATGTAACCTTTTCTTTGACTCAGTTTACCTATTTATTTTTACTCCCCTTTTCTTCCCTTGCCAACCCTTATAACCATCTAAGAATGATTCTGTATGTAAACCTTTCCTTAATGTTTTATAATAATGATTTTATACCATAATGTCCTTTTGTGACTGACTTACATCACACAGAAAGTTCCTTTACATTCGTTCATATTAGGTAGTAGTTCTTGAATTCTTTATTGTCCTTTGAGTTCCATAATACTCCATTGTGTGAATACACCTTAGTTTTTTCAGCTGTTCATTTGTTGATAGCTAGGTTGTTTCCATCTCTATGCTACTGTAAACAGTGCTGCAGTTAACATGAGTGTGCACATATTAGTTCCTTTCATAGCTCTTACTTCTGTAGGATATATACCTAGTAATAGGTTTGCGAGATCAAATCATATTTCTATTTTCAACCTTTTAAGGAATCACCAGGCTGCTTTCCATAGTGGTTGCACCAATTTAGATTACTGTCAGCAGTGAGAGTTTAAGTCTCCTTATTTCCTTTTCGGAGTTTTCCCTGTTACTGCAGAGCAATCTGTATTAATTACGTAGTATATTAATCCGGTACTTTGCTAAATTGTTCATTTAGATGCAGTACTTTTTTTTTTCTGAGTCTTTGAGATTTTTCTCTATATAGGATCATATCTATAGCTAAAGACAGTTTTACTTTCTTTTTGCCAATTTGGATGTCTTTAATTTTCTTACTTTCTTGCTCTGGCTAGGCTTAGGATACAATTTTTAATAGGATTTGTAATAAAGACCATCCTTGTCTGGTTCCTATTCATAAGGGAAATGCCTAAGTCTTTTTCCGTTGTGAGTAATGTTGGGCATTGGCTTTGTGTATGTACTTCTCATTATGTTGAAAAATTTTTTTCTCATTTTTTTGAACGATTTTAGAAGGAAAAGGTATTGAATTCTTTCAAATGCATTTTCTATATCCATTAATGGAATAATGTGAGGAAAAGGTGGGCTTAATAAAGAACTGAACATAACGGAAGTAAAACCTCAAGACTTGCAGAGTCCTTTTGTATAAAGAACATATTTTCGAATGTTTACTGGGAATATAATATAGCTATGTTAAAGATATTAAGCTTGTGACCAATGTATGTTTCCAGCTATTACAGCAGAAAACCCACCAGCTGTGACAGAAAGGGGACAAAAAAACGAATGAAAAGATTGCTGTCTGTTTCTCTTTCTTGATGTTCTCTAATGAGGACACAGACCCAAAACCCCACCTCTTATTTTCCCTGAAAAGAGAATCATTGCTGAAAGAGCAAAGTAGTTGGTAAGAACACTGTATACAGCAGGGCTTTTGATTCAAATAAGCCTCCTAGGCTTCAACAAACTGAATCTTTGTAAGTTTAGTTCCAGAACGAGAATACTATTCAAATGGGGGCTGGGGGGTGCCGGACAGGGAGACTGTTGTTGACGATTGCCCCAAAGAGGTTAGAGCTGCCATACCCAAGGGGCAAAACAGTGTGCGGCTGAGGCCAACAGGGTAGAATCATACTCTGATTAGGAGAATGAGTCTGTCTTAAGCTGAGCGTTCAGAATTGCCATTTTAGAGGGTCTACAAAGCAGAACTGAAGCTAGAGTACTCCACCCAAAATCAAGGAATGTGGCCAACACTCAGAGTTTGACAGCAGAGCCATTGCCCATATAGTTCCAGAAAACAGTTTTATTTCAAGCCTTGAAAGTAGTATAATATATTCTGTGGTGTTTTGAACTTTTTTGTTATCCATTACCACTTTCCCCCTCCCATTTCTCCTGTAGTGAAAATTTATTCCCTGCTTAGAAACAGATAACTTGTATTCTAGCTTCACAAATGGAAGAGGAATTTTTGTTTCAGAATGAAATATGGCTAAAGTCTCACCCACATTGATGTGCATGATTCAGAAGATGAGGTTTTGAACTTGGAGTTGATTTAAGACTTTTACGATGATGTGAATGTGTTTTGCATGTGAGGAGGACATGAATTGTGGTATGGGAGGTCAAAGAGTGGAATGTTACGGATTAAATTGTATACTTGCCCCCAAAAAATGTGTTATAAATCCTAGCTCTTGTGCCTACAGTTACATCCCTATTTGGGAATTGGTTGTCTTTGTTATGTTAATGAGTCAAGATTATAATTTTCACCCTCTGAAGACTCACACTACAATATTTTTTTTAGTCTTTTTTTCACTCATAAAAATGGATAGCGTGGGGTTTTTTATAGTGTTACTGTTAGTTGCCCTCAAGTTGATTATGACTCATGGCAACCCCATATGTGCAGAATAAAAGTGCTCCATAGGGTTTTCAAAGCCTTTGGAAGCATTCTGCTAGGCCTGTCTCTCATGACGCCTTTTGATTTTGAATCACCAGACAGACTTAGAGTTAAATAGTCCAGCACAAAAAAAAAAATTGTCCAGCACTTTACCATTTGAACCACTCATCTCATGTTTTACTTTTGATATTTACCTCTCCATAAATATTTTTCAGCAGAGAAAAAAGAGAAAAAACAGCAGCAGTCAGCAGCAGGAAGTGCTGACTCTAAACCGGTAGATGTTTCCCGTCTGGATCTCAGAATAGGTTGTATTGTCACTGCAAAAAAACATCCTGATGCAGATTCTTTGTATGTGGAAGAAATTGATGTTGGAGAAACCACCCCAAGAACAGTTGTCAGTGGCCTAGTGAATCACGTTCCCTTGGAACAGGTAACTCATGTACCCAAAATTACATTGATTAGGAGTAAGGTTGGGAGCTCTCGTGGCCTAGGGGCAAAAAGCTGCACTGCAATCCCAGAGATGTACGGTTCAAATCCTCCAGATGCTCTGCTGAAGAAGGAGAGGCAATCTCCTCCTTGTACCAGTCAGATCCAATTTGATGGTACATGTACAGAAAATAATAAAATAAAATAATTTTTTAAAAAAAAAAGGAGTAAGGTTAACAGCTAATTATTATCATTGTTGTCCATAAAATATACATGTGTAAAAATTTAAATTGACATGCATTTTGTGGTATATATTTGCTGAGAATGGAAATGAATGTTTAACCAAAAACTTGATGAGATTTCAATCCTTGATTATAAGATTTAGGGTAATGGTTTTATGAAACATCCCAGTTAATTGGCCTCTTAATGTTTCTGTCCCACTTCCTTCTCCATTACATAATACCTAGGATCTTAAAGCTTCTTAGAGGCCCTGTAAGTCATCATACCTGGTCTTGCATTTAACTGCCAAGAAAGGAGAGAAGAGGAGAGGAATTATGAAACGTGTGACTGCCTTCATGAACAGCTACCACCTTTGTCTTTGACGAACTAGATGGTGCCCAGCCACCATTACTGAGCATTTTGAACAAGGGTTGCTGTTCCTTGTCATATTTGATGTATCTTGGCTTTGTGAACTGTAACAAAGTCTTTATTCATTCATTCATATTCCTGTTTACATTTGAGCACCTGCAACCTGCCAGGCACTATTCGAGACACAAGATAATGTTGTATGCTGTCCAGTTGATTCTGACTAACGGCTGTTGAAAAGACAAAATTAACAGCCTCTTAGAGCAAGAGAAGGATGGACATTCTCCCATGTGATTAACTGTCTCTGAAAACACACTGGAGGGTCAGCTGTGGGTTGGTTCCAACTCTGTGGTACTCAACCACAGCAACAGAGTTTCCCAGGCTGTAATCTTTGCAGGATTAGATTGCCAGGTGTTTTTTCCCAGGCAGTTTCTGCTGAATTCAAACCACCAGCCTTTTCAGTTAGCTTCATTTGCATCATTTGGACTCCTCAGACACAGGATTTATTACTTTAATTAATTAACAAGAATTAATTGAAATGAAAAAAGCAAAACAAAAATGTCTATCTTTGTAAAGATAAAACTTACAGAGACATCAGAAATTTGTTAAAGCAGAAACAGCTACTATGTTAAATAAGTACCAAGGAGGTACTTATAAGTACAAGTACAAAGCAGGAGGAAAAAATAAAAATCAAGGAGATGGTGAGCCTTGCTCCCCACAGGATGTTACCATTTTATACAAGACCTAAAACATCCTTGTAGAGAAAGTGACATTTATGCAAAAATTTAAGAAAATGAAGAATGTTAAGTCTTTTATATTCAGAGCATATTACCAGGAAGGACCAGTCCTGGAAAAGGATATCATATTTTGTAGAGTTAGAGGGTCAGCAAAAAAAGAGAAAGGCCCTCAACAAGATGAATTACCTCAATGGCTTTAACAGTGGATTCAAGCATAGACAACAGGTATGAGTTTGGTGAAGAACTAGACAGTATTTCGTTCTGTTGTACATAGGGTCACCGTAAGTCAAAACAAAATGAACTCTGCTCACAGCAGTGACAACATTAGAGCCTTAACCTTTTCTGGTAAGTTGTTTAAGTCTTCTCTTCCAGAAGCTGCCCTTCAGAGTGGTAAGAAAATCTGCTAAAAGAAATGTTTAACCTGTAGCCAAGTGTTTAGTCTCTATACCACCAGAGCACCTCACCAAGATGGTGCTAATGGAGTATTCCATAAAACAGAGTCTATTTATACAGACATTTTTTATCTAGAAAGCTCTATCACGACCACCCCCAGCAATGCTATTTCTCTACTTTGTTATTTTAAAACCGTTGAAAGAAACTATTTCCTATTTTTGCTAGCCATAGGGCCAGCGAATATACTTTATAACATTTCAAGTTTAAAGATACCTGTCTAAGGGAGCTCTGGTGGCCTAGTTTCAAGAAGCTACACTGCAATCCCAGAGGTAGATGGTTCAAATCCACCAGATGCTCTGCTGGAGAAGGAGGGGCAATCTCCTCCTGTACCAGTCAGATCTGATTTGATGGTACACATACACACACAATAATAATTTTTTTTAAAAAAGATACCTATTTTTTTAAAATACATTCTAGAAATAGTCATACATTTAAATCGCAGTGTTCAGTAGTATTTCTTCATTTTTAAGAAACCAGTTTTAGTTTTGTCACTTCTAGTAAATGAACCAAAATTCAAAACTAAGTCTCTTTCGCTTGTTTATTTTTTAATTTACTCATTCAAGAATACTTAATTCAGAGACCTAGGTTCTTTCAGCTGTCATGTTGTTATTTTAGAACTTTGGTTTAATGTTTATGTAGCATTCAAAGCAGCGGTGTTGGCCACATAGAGGTAAGTCCACAAAAGAACATTTTATAGTTAACATATTAAGTATGCTTGAATCTACTCTAGATAAAGGTTATTTTAGATTTCTTTATATTTTTAATCACCAATTTATGTTTCACACAGATGCAAAATCGTATGGTGATTCTACTTTGCAACCTGAAACCTGCCAAGATGAGAGGAGTACTATCTCAGGCCATGGTGATGTGTGCTAGTTCACCAGAGAAAGTTGAAATCTTGGCTCCTCCTAATGGATCTGTTCCTGGAGACAGAATTACTTTTGACACGTTCCCTGGTAAGTACTTACTATTAATTATTTAAACTAGTTTGAGAATCATTGTTCTCAAAAGAGAGCCTCTAATATTTAAGGTTAAAATTCATTTGATATGTGACTCACAACTTACCACTATTAATACTTAGTAAAATTGACCTAGGCAAGTACATTTTGAGTACTTTGTCTATGATTTAAATCTACCAGCTGCTGTAAGAGAGAAGGATAAACAGTCTTCACATAAAAATACAGACTTGGAAACCCAGTAGGCGGTTCTTAAAGATTGACTTGATAGCAGTAGGAGATTTTTATTTTGTTTTTTAAGATCAAAAGGCAGCATTTGCCCAGATTTAAAGTTCAGAAAGCAAGAAGGGGGATTAATGGAAACAAGAATCGTAGGAGACTGTGGGAAGAGGTTAGTTATATTTTGGGTATTGTAATAGTGTCTTAAAATATGTATGGGTAGTTGATTGGCAAACCATTGTGTTTTACAAACTTTAACCCAAATTAAAATACAAAGGACGGGGAACAATTCTTAAGATTAAAAAGTGGGGGGAAAAAATAGCCTGTTGTTTGAGTGGATTCCAGTTCAAATCAACCCTACAGAACACAAAAGAACTACATGTAGGGTCTGTAAGCCTTTTTTAAATTATCATAATGCTACATCACTTTTCTACACAGTACTTTGTGAGTTCAAGCTACTAACATTTTGTTTACTGTGTTACAAGAGCTTCTTTCATAAACTTGTATCTTGGAAACCCTACTAGGCAGTTCTTCACTACCCTGTAAGAATGCTAAGGAGTTAGAATCACATCAGCAACAATGAGTTGTGCATTTAGTATGTTTGCTGATAGAATATTGTTATGTTTTCAGTGCAGTCTGGTCAACTAAGACTCAGTTACCCTATGAAGAGCTGATCAGAACCTATCCGGCTTCAGTCTCACAATCTCCTCTATGCTTGAGCCCATTGCTCCTGTCACTCTGTCATCCTATATTCTATCTCATTGAAAGCCTTCCTCTTTCACTGACCCTCTTCCTTTCCTGTTGTGGTTGTTGATTGCCTTGCGGTCAAGCACGGCTCATAGTGACCTTATGAACAAAAGGCCTGAATCCCCCCTACAACTCTCAACATTTATCAAAGTTCATAGAGTTTCCAGAGACATATTATTTAGGAAGTAGGTGCCACTCCTGCTTCTAATATCCAGGAAGAGACTCTCAGAATATAAAAAATGTGAACATTGGCATAGTAGAAAATACATATATATAAAAGCATGACTTAATTCTTTGAAACTCAGCTACTCTTCTCAATCAAGAGCAGACTCATTGTTAAAATGAGATTTTCAAGTATTTATGACTTTGAATGCACGCGTATGTCTTTCCTTCTTGAATAGAAACATTACCATGTAGTCTAGAAACGTTTTTTGTAAATTGTGTTTTGAGAAAATTCCAATCTGAATTATATATCGAAGAAACACCTCTGAATGACTTTAGATAGTCAAATCAGTTGTTGTTGCTCCTTGCCCTCAATTAATTGCAATTCATAGCTACCCTAAAGCGCAGAGTGACTGATGGTTTCAATCTGCCGATCTTTTGATTAGCATCTGAGTACTTCAGCATTGGGTTTTATACCCTAATAGTTATTTTCTCCAACTGCAAAGCCAAAAATGTTCATACTTTTAAAAGATGCCAAATAATATTTTTATAACAATGCATAAAATCCTCTCCACCCACCAACACTTATAAAAAATTTGAACATATGAAACTATAAATTTTTGTTTTTAAATGTGATGACTGGTCCCTAAACCACCAAGCAGAAATAACTTGAAAATAGTATCATAGCTAGCTGACAAAGGTATTAAAAAAGTAGTCCAAGGTGAGAATTTATGTGTAAACCTTTTAACTTCTATGCTTATGCTTTTTTCTATTGATAATTGAGATTTTTTAAAAAAGAATTTAAGATTTCATTAGCAGATGTTTGTAATATATAAGATTATTTAATTTTTTTATTCATTTTCTATTTTAAAATAGTGTCTATATTTCATTCTACTATTGTCATTTCTCAGAAACCATTTTTTGATCAGATTTCTAAACCCTAGTAAAACACTTGAATTAGTCAATATCACAGTAACTTTCCTTTAGTTACCTATGATTAGTTTTTAGTCCTCTACTGCTTCACCAACTTCCTTTCTTACCTTTTTTAATACTTCTCCACTTTTGTGACATTTGAACATTGAAATGCATATGGTTTTAGATCTTAACCACTTCAACTTTTCTTTCTATGTTTGTATCTTGTTGTTGTTATGTGCCATCAAGTTGCCTGTGACTCATAGTGACCCTAAGTACAACAGCCCTAAACCCTCCTCTATCCTGCGCCAATCTCACTGCCTCCAACACGCTTACCCCAGTTACCCCAGTCACTGAATCAGCCCGCCTCATAGACTGTCTTCCTCTCCTGCACTGTCCCTCAACCCTCCCAAGCATGATGTCCTTCTCCAAGGATCGGTCCCACCTTCCAACATGTCCAGAGTATGTCAGACAAAGTGTCAGAATTCTTGCCTCCAAGGAGAAGCCTGATTTAACCCTCTCAAGGGTGAACCTATTTGTTTTCTTAGCAGTCTGTGGTACATTCAATACTATTCTCCAGCACCACAACTCATAAGCATCAATTCTTCTCCCTAGTCATTGTCCAGCTCTCTGACGCATAGCAAGTGATTGCAAAGACTGTGGCCTGTATCAGGCACACCTTAGTCTCCAAAGTGGCGCCATAGTTCTCCAGTACTTTGGAGAGGTCCTTAACAGCAGACTTTCCCATCGCAGTACATCTTTTAATTTCCTGGCTGCTGGTGTCAAGAGTGTTGACTGTGGAGCCAAACAAACTAAAGCTGTGAACAATCTCAATCTTTTCACCATCCATCCAGATGCTGCCAATTGACTCAGTGATGAGGATCTTGGTTTTCTTGATCTTGAGCCTCAGTCCATATTGAAGGCTGCAGTCCCTGACCTTCTGCAGCAAGTGTTTTAGGTCTTCCTCAGTTTCAACAAGCAGGGTTGTCATCTGCATAATGCAGATTGTTGATGAATCTTCCTCCATTCCTGATGCCACACTTCTCCTCATACAGCCCAGCCTCCCAGATAATCTGTTCTGCATAAAGATTAAAAAGGTATGGAGATAGGACACATCCCTGGCATATATCCTTTCCAGTTTTAAACCATGCAGTGTTTCCTTGCTCTGTTCTGAATACTGCCTCCTGGTCCGAGTATACGTTTCGCATTAGCACAATTAAATGTTCTGGGATTCCCATTCTTCTCAGAGTCAGCCTCAGTTTGTTATGGTCCACACAGTCAAACGCCTTTGCATAATCAATGAAACACAGATAGACATTCCTCTGGTACTCCCTGCTTTCAGCTAATTGTTGTTGTTTTTGTTGTTATGTGCCGTCGAGTCGCTTGCAACTCATAGCGACCCTATGTACAACAGCCCTAAACTCCGCTCTGTCCTGTGCCAATCGCACTGTCTCTGACACTCCCATCCCAATTATCCCAGTCACTGAATCAATCCATAGTTTAAAAAGTTTCAGCTAATAGGTAATTTTATTTCCAATCACTGATTCAACTACTTACTGAATTTATTCCATTGACATGTCCCATTATACTCCTAAGAATTCCTTTTTTCATGTTTCCCATATGTAAAAAGAGCTAGGGTCATTTTCTTTTAATGCTTCTTGGATCATTCACCATTTTGCCCCTGGCATCTTTCAGTATTTCGGCTCAATGCTTCAGGCTTGATTATTTTTCCCCCACACCTGTTCTTTCAACATGAGAAATGCAAGCAAGTTTTTCCCTTTTTATTCTTCAGGTTCCAGTTCTTTGCACGTGAACTTACAACACTTTGCTTTGTCTTCTTGAGTGGCCTTTTGAAATCTTCTGTTCAGCTCTTTTATGTCAGCATCTCTTCTCTTTGTTTTGGCTGCTTAATGTTCTGATGCAATTTTCATAGTTTCTTCTGACGTCCTTTTTTGGCTTTTTCTTTCTCCTCTATTTTTGTAGTGGCCTTTTGCTCTCTTCGTGGATGATGTCCTTGATTTCATGGCAAAGCTCCTCTGGTCTTCGATCATTCAAACCTTGTCTTAAGTTAACTTTTTTAATTCAGGTGGAATAGACTCAAAGTTGTATTTTAACTTCTTGTGGATTTGTTTTAATCATGATCTGTTTCAATTTGAACTAGCATATATAAGTGATTGATAGTCTGTTCGACAGTCAGCACTTGGTGTGGTTCTAACTACTAATGCTGAGTTTCTCCAGCTGTTCTTTATACAAATGCAGTCGGTCTGATTCCTCTGCAGACTGACAGGTGAGGTCCATTTATAGTTGCCATATGTGTTTCTTAAAAAGTATTTGCTATGAATACATCATTTAATGTAAAAAAAAATCAGTCATTTGCTTTACTGCCTCATTTCTTTTTTTAATTTAAATTTATTATTAATTTTAGTAAAAATTTACAGAGACTTTGGATTTCCATTCATTCATTGTTGCAATTTTCTCCCCTCACAACCCTCCACCTTAGTACACTACGCTCTTGGAAAAGTAAAAGAAAAATTCTTTCATTGTTTTATAAACCCTTCCCCAGGTCCACTCCACTATGTAGCCCTCATTCTAAACCCCTGTCATGACAAAAATACCCAATAACATATCCCTTTTAAACAGTTTTCTCCCTCCTCTGTTTCAATGAGGTGTACATTATTGAACCCATCATTCTCAGTCTCTCCCCAACCCCAAGGTCAGTCTGGTTTTACAACAGTGGCACCATGCAATATTTGTCCTTTTGTGACTGAGATACTTCACTCAGCATAATGTTCTCCAGAGTCAC